AGAGGACAGAGTGGAACTGCCCACAGGGTCTCCGAGGCTGTCAATCTTCACAGAAGCAAAGCCCAAACCACACCCACTGCCTGGAGTCCATTCTGACCCACAGCGCCCCTAGAGGACAGAGTGGAACTGCCCACAGGGTCGCCAAGGCCCTCAGTCTTCACAGAAGCAAAGCCCAAACCACACCCACTGCCTGGAGTCCATGCTGACCCACAGCGCCCCTAGAGGACAGAGTGGAACTGCCCACCGGGTCTCCAAGGCTGTCAATTTTTACAGAAGCCCAAACCACACCCACTGCCCTGGCGTCCATTCTGACCCACAGCGCCCCTAGAGGACAGAGTGGAACTGCCCACAGGGTCTCCAAGGCTGTCAGTCTTCCTGGAAGCAGATGCTGCAGAGCCAGTGGTGAGTTTCAACCACCCACCATTTGGTTAGCAGCTGAATGCTTTAACCACTGTGCCACCAAGGCTCCCTATGTGAATTATAGCTACTGACATTTAATGCTTTAGAAATAAAAACTAAGTTAACGTAAATAACAGTATTTTCTAAAACAAAAGCAAAAGACCCTAGTGGGAGGAGTGGCCTTGTTTTTGTTTTCAGACCTCAGTGGGCTGGCTGTCCCCGCAGCGGCTCTGTGCCGTTGGAGGCTGGTTTAGTTGTGCGTGAAGAACTGTGCTGTGCGGAGGACTGTTGAAGTGTGTTCGCTCTTTCCCCAAAGCTGCGGGTATCCCAACACGCTGCCTACTGTTTGTCAAATCTGAACAGCTCGTGTGCCCCCGATCCCACACCATTCCTACTGTCACCAGAAGCCTGGTCTACAGAGCAAGCAGCCCCAGACGCTGCCACCTTCTGGTACTCAGTGTCACCAACTCTTTCATCAGCTCCTAGCTCTGAACACTCGTGCTAGTGAACACAAGTAAAACTCAGATTTTTTCTGGAAAATGCAAATTTTACCATTGCCTCTGAACACTGCTGCTTGTCCTACAGGAGAGGTGGCTTGCTGAGTTTCCAAGGCCCTGCATGCCATATGCCCAGTAACCAGCTTGTCTACCAGTCACTCGCGCCAAGTGGGTTCCCGGAGGGGCTTGTGCGGTGTGCACATCTCTGCTGCCACCCAGGATCCGTGCTGCCTCACCAAGGCTATCCTAAGTGAATACGGTCCTTTCCGGAAAGCACTGTGGTCACGTGAGACACGCAACACCAGCACCCAGTCAGTCACAGCTCTGTTGCCAGGGTCTGTCTTCCCCGTGCCTTTGCGCCCAAGGATGGATGGCCCACCCAGGCCCCTGGCCCAGTGCCCCGCTGACCCCTCCTGCGAGCAGCAGCTGTAACTGAAGTCTCTCCTCTCCCGGGATCGTCACCACCGCCCCCCCACCCCATCAGCAAGGGCGGACATGGGATGCAGAAACTGCCCACAGAAGACCCAATGGGCCCGGCCTTCGTCAGACACGCCCCGCCCCTTCAGGAAGCCGGCGTTCTCGGGGGAACATGCCCTGTCACACCAACACTCAGAGCTGCTTCCAGGGCTGGTCCCACCAGCTGACAAGGAACTGCCAGACCCCAGCTCAAACGTGGGTCCTGCCTGTGGACCTGCCCTGGCGTCAGTGCCACACACAGGAGGGTAGGGCTCCTTGGAGTATAGGGACATCCTGCCGGACAAGTGATCGAGAATGGAAGCACAGAGGGACACATCACTTAAACAAGTGCCGTCGGGGAAACAAAACCAAAGCCTCTGGGCTGGGTGGGTGCCGGCTGCGTCGTCCCTGCCCACCCTAGCGTGCCCTGGAACCTGTGTGGCCTGCACCTTGGAGGTGGGGAACCAGACCCTGGCTGCGATTCTGGTCCAGACGAGGTCACTGTGTCGCCTGTGGGCCGGAACCCGTGTGGCCTTCACCTCCAAAGGTAGGGACTGGTTTGTGAACCACCCACACTGACACTATGTGAGCTTATCCAGCCAACAGTGCGATCGACGTGGCTCCAAGACTCCTACCTACAGAGAAGCGTCCTGAAGCTGCACGCAGAATGTGGCGGCGGACACAGTATGACCCCACAGTCCACTTTACACACAACACGGTCAGCACTTGGTAGAGGTTGCACCTGCGGGACCCGCCGTGACCTTTCACAGACCCACCCTGCAGGACTCACGTCCATGTGGATCCAGGGCAGCAGCACGCGTGGTACAAAGCGCCACCACGGGCACCACCACCAGCAGTCTGTGTCTGTGTCCACGAGGCAGTCCCAGGCCAGAGCCCGTGGGCACACCTGCGCCCCCTGGTGGCAGGCACCTTCCGGTCCAGATGACGAGAGCTGCACTGTGAGCACAAAGGGGGAGAGGGAAGCCCTGGAGTCCTCTTGAGCTGACTGGCTCTGCCCTTGCTCTCACAATGTGCCCCAGAGTCCTACTGCCCCAATGGGCTCTGTCCTTGTTTTCCCAGTGCTTCCTGACCCCAGGGAGGCTGGCCCTATGGGGAGAAACCATCACCTGTTATAAACCGGTGATGATCCGAGAGCCAAGCAGGACATATTCATGGCGGGCCCTGAATGAGCAACTGGGATGATGGGGAGATAGGACCTAAACGGGTCTCCCTCACCTGGGAACGTTTTAGGGCATGTGGGTGTGGCCTGGTGTCCCTGACGTCGTCTGCAGGGGTGCTGGTCCAAGGACCTGCCGGTTAACAAGGAGCAGCTCTGATACATGGATGGCACTGAGCCCGGTGTTCTCAACGCTACAGTGAGCTGCCGGACAAATCGCACTGTGGAAAGTGGCCAACGCAGTTCCTACCACTCTTTTTAAATAACCAGCTCACTCCAAGCCCTCAATGAGGGCGACGTCTGAGTGCCGTCACCCCGACCGTTTCCTGAACCTGAACAGGAGAGACGGGCTGTTTCAATCTGTCTTTAATGTCACGAGTACAAAAGCCAGTGGGGCCGACAGTGTCCTCCAAGTTCCCAGGTCGCCCCCGGCTGTCCTGCGGCTGCAGCAGCGCCACGGGGCAGGCGGCGGGTGGGATGCAACGTCGTTCCTGCACCTTCACTCCTCGGACTCCCCGGGCTTGCGGATGTCGTCGATCTTCAGGATCATGCGCACCATCTGGGTGGCGAGCGAGAGCTGCTGCTTCTTACCGATCAGGGTCTCTATGACGTGCTGCTGCTTCATATCTGAAAGACAGGGCCGACGGTCACGCCACACACACGGCACCACGCAGAGCCCGGCTCAGCGTGGGGAGCCCAGGGTGGGCTGCGCAAGGCACCCCGCTCCTCCGAGCCCCTGGAGAGACACAGCTGTGAGGGAGGGGTGCTCTTCCCCACTGCTGAAGGGCACCACCCAGGACGCAAGCACCCACTTCAAGGCCAGGAGAGCGAGGCCGAGGGAGACCCCAGCTGCCTGGACAGTCGGGTCCCGAGCAACCCACTCGACAGCCCCGCGACGTGGACGTGAACACAAGACACCCAAGAGTCTAAGTGACCACGTGAACTGCCCCCACCGTGGCCAGGCCTGCAGTGTGGCCACAGGTACCATGGACCCCACCCGAGAACCCAGCCCCCCACCTGCACAGTGTGCCACCCGAGCATGACCTCAGACCTGCCGCACATGACACGCCGCCCCCCCCAGCATCCACCTGGGTAAGCGCGCCCGGAGCCCTCCTCACCGTTGGTGCCCTTGTGCAGACAGTCGATGCCAAGGGCTGGGTTCATCTCCTTCACCTGCCGGGCGCGGACCTCGGTCATCGTCTGGATGGGGTTCATGCCACTGTTCTCAGAAAGGGCCATGGGGATGGCCTCCAGCGCGTCGGCGAACGCCCGCATCGCGTACTGCTCCAGGGTCGGGCACTGGGGGCACAGAGAGAGTGAGGACCTGCAGCGCCACGCTGGAACCTGCCACGCCAACCTGCACGGAGTTTTACTCCACCAGAACGCCAGTGTGTCACCATGCGGACACGTCAACCAGCCCTGCAGCGTGCACTGCCCACCAGAAAGTTAACCGCCCCCCCAGCCTGCAGAGGCTGCCGGGGAGAGAAGGCCGAGGGCGGAGCCGTTCTGAGCTCTCCCCTCAGTCAGACTTCTCGTCCGTGCCGAGCCTCGGCAGCACCGAGACACACCAGTGGTGCCGTCTGCGCCGGACGGGTGGCAAGGCTGAGGAACGCTCGTTCATGGGCTGCAGCTCACAGCCACAGCCCTGCCAGGGTGGCTCACCTTGTCCGCCGCCTGGCTGACGGCCAGGGCGCAGGAGATCTCGGCGGCTCCGCCTCCATACACGACCCGGTTGTCACGGATCAGGTTCCGGATGACACATAAGGCGTCATGGAGGGACCGCTTGGCCTCCTCAATGATCTGGGGAGAGTTTTGTCCAATTCAGTGTGATCGCGACCCTGTCACTTTAGGGCTGAACCCTGGGCCCCGTCATCAGATCAGACTGTCCCTAAGGGGCCTAGTCATAACTACTATGCTGCAAAGCACCAGCGGGGGTGGCCAGGACCCTGCCTTTCTTCATCACCAGGTGACCTCTGGCTGAGTCCCCTCCACCCTGGCCTGCAGGTGGCACGTTAGACAGGCAGGAGCTCCTCCGGGACACGCTACGGAGAAGGGAGCCTGCAGAGAAAGTGGTGCTCTGGGCCCCTCTCCACGCAGAAAGAGCACTGTGGCCGCTGACTCGGGTCCCCTTCTACCCACCCAAGAACAGCAGAGACACGAACATGCCCCGCAGACCAACAGCGCGGGCTGCTGGAATCCTAAGCCATGACACAATCCTTTTTTCAGAGAAAAGGATGAGCCCATTTCCTCCCGGCAGCTGCCCCCCCCCGGCGAGCCCCGTGGCAGGCAGAGTGGCCCTGCGTGGAGCCGCGGGTCCTCACCATCTTGTTGCCTCCACGGATGAAGATGGTCACAGCCCTGGAGTTCCGGCACTGCTCGATGACCAGCATCTTGTCCTTGGTCGTCCCAAACGAGGTCTCCTTCACGAGCCCAGCAAAGCCCAGCTTCTCAGGGGTGAGCTCCGAGAACCGTGGGACGATGCGTCCCCCGGTGGCAATGGCGATCAGCTGGTGGGCGAGGTCAGAGGAGACAGCACCAGTCAACTGCTGGTTTCGACGCCACACTACTGAGCAACTGAAACCACCACCAGGCTCCCCACAACCGCTGCTCCAGCCTGGCCCTGCTGCCGCCGGCTCCCCATGCCGGCAGACCTCCTAACCTCAGCCTCCCCCTCTCCGAACCTCCATTTACTGGTAGACCCTCGTCACACCCCACCCCTGGCGCATGGTGCAGGCACAAACCAGCGTCCGAGGCTCTGCTGGACTCTGGCTGACTGGGGGGAGAAGGAGCGGGCCCTGGACCTCCAGCCTCCAAGAGCCTGAGGTCATCATAGGACAGGGAGCAGCAGCAAAGTGCGGGGCCCAGTTACCGGCCCCTCAGTGGAGGTCTGTACCCGCCTCCTGGGCGTGTGATGCCCCAGCCCTCACAGCGGCTGACACGAGTAGCCAGCACGGTACACGGAGCCCTCCTACCTCGATTTCCGGCCCTCCGACCCAGCGCACCGCAGGCAGGTTATTCTGCAGCAGTAAATGGTTGGCCTCATCATCAAAGCCCCACTGGCAGATCGCTAGGTTAGCTCCGGTTTCCTTAATCTGGGGAAAAAAAATCTCAGTGGTGTCAGTAAAGCAGGGCTGTGCTCCGTTACGTCACCTGCAGGGGCAAGAGCAAGAGTCGGGTGTGTGAAGGGATGTGCCAGAGAAAAGCAGCCATGTACAGATGAAAACAGGCAGAAATGTGAGTCTACCATGCTGTCTGCTCCTGTTTCAAAACGCTCATCTGTGCGTGAGAAGCACCTCGTTTCACAATTGGCGTTTATTTGTTGACTAACACTCTGACCTGCCTGTTTGAAGACAAGGATGGTGACAGCATTCTGGTTTACATGGCAACCCAGGACTCTCGACTCAAAGCTGCGTGTCTAACCGCCTGTTTCTGTGCTATGCCGTCAGGCAGACTCTGACTCTCAGGGACCCCGTGACGACGCAGACCTGCCCCGCAGGGCAGTCCTGGCTGTCATCCAGACGGAAGAGACTGCCAGCCTCTATTCCTAGCACCACGAGGTGGGTGTGACTCTTCAGCCTTCCGGTTACCAGCAGGGCACAAACGGCACCACTCAGACACCCTCAGGGCTCATCTACGTGGTCAGCCATGCGACGCGGACCAAACCCAGGACTCACGGGTTTAGACGTGCCCAGGAAAGCACAGCCCACGGAAGCAGTGCTGGCTCTTCTGGACAGCAACGCACACCAGCATCTGGAGACAAACCGGCTGGCTGGGGCAACCTGACCTCCCCTACGCCTCCCTGTGCCGGTTAAGTTTCTCCCTTGTCGTGAGGATTTGTTACGCTTGCAGTTTCAAAGTGAAAAAACCCAGCCTGTCCTGCTTGTACCATCTGTCCAGTCCTGTCTATACTGCCTGTAGCCACGTATCAAGTGTCAACACAGTCACAGGCCAGCGCCACTCAGACCTGCTCCTGCGCCTCACCTGTTGGATCATCTCCTCAAACTTCTCCTTCTCATACTTCTGGAGGGCTTTGTAGTCCTCCACCGAGGTCACGTCCAACTTGTGCTTCGTCTTTGGCTTGGGCGGCTCGAACGGACACGTGAGAATGGCGATCCTGGCGTTTTCCACTTTCTGTGCGGACAAAAAAGCCTCAGAACATGGATGCATAGCGTCTCAGGCCGTCTGAGGCAGGAGGGCAGGGACTTGCCTTCGGCATCTGGGGGTGACTGAAGTCCTTGTCCACGATAACACCTTTGATGAGCTTCGTGTCCTCCAGCCGTCCGCCCACCTTGCCCTCCACCTTGATGAGCTCGAAGTCCACGTCTCTGCGCTGCATGTCGGCGACCGTGAGGATGGCATCCACTGCGATCTCAGCCATCTGCCGGTGGCAGCTGTTCACCCTGCAAACCACCAAACCTTCACAAGCACGCACAGTAGGTGCGACTCAGAAACTTCCTCACACGGCTCACACCCAGAGTCCAAACAGCAACACCATCACAGCCTGCCATCTCTCAATAGTATGGGATGGGTTCTCAACCCGGGGCCCACAGACCCTTGAACTCGGAGGGAAAGTATGGCCTCTTGCTGGCCACAAACCCTACTTGAACTTCAGCTGTGAGTGTATGTACGAGCCCATGCAACATGGTGAGAACAAGACTTCCGAAGGTCTCACCACCTGTGTTCAGAAAACTGCTAATGCGCTACAGGATCAGACTTAAACTAGAGGAACGAGAAAGCCCACAACAAGCCAGTCTTGCTAAAAGAGAAGCAGACTCCATGAGAACGAGGACCCATGGCTGTGCAACTGTACAGAGATTTCCATGTTGGCTGGATGGGGATGCTGCTAATCTTAATGCTTAAAACACTTGGATGACGGCTCAATGCACTAACTTGTGATTCTGAAAAACTACAAGGGAAGTCAAACTGTTCAAATACAGCACCCAAAACCCCAGGCCTTCTGGAAAGAACCATGATGTTTAAGTTTCTCTCTCTGATAGGAGCCCTGGTGGCACAGTAGTTAAAGCACTTAGTTATGAACTCAAAGATTAGTGGATTGAACCCATCAGCCCCTGTGCAGGACAAAGTAGGAGCCCGCTTTGGTAAAGACTGCTGGCCTTAGAAACCCTTTGGGGCAGTTCCACTGTCCTCTAGGGGTGCTGTGAGCCGGAATCAACTCTGCGGCAGTGGGTGTGGTTTGGGCTTTGCTTCCGTGAAGA